ATATATACATATACATATATATATATATATATATATATACTAACTAATTACATTATAAATACTGTTCATGAGAAATAACTTATTATAAATTTACATGATATTATAAAAGTATAAAATAAAATGGTTCAGTGGTTTCACTCCTTGTGCTTAGGGACTTCAAGTGCATGGTACTGGGTTCAAATCCTACATTGTCATATATTTTTTTTATACATATAATTAAAAGGAAAAGAAAAGGAACGTGGCAACGGATAATTCTTCAATTGAAGAATCTTCTCTTCTCTTATTGCAAAAATTGAATGCTTATATATCTATAAGCAACCAAGCTTTGTAACGAATATGAAACTTGGTTAAGTATAATTAAATCACCATTCCATTTTAACTAAAGTAATCATTACCGGAAATGCTATAAATAGGTTCACTTGGTAAAAATTGGAGATATCAAAACTTACGGTAATACAGAGCAAGAGAGAAACGTAAGAAAAGAGAGAAAAAAATAAGGAGAAAGAAAGAGAATAGAGAAGTAGGAGAAAGAAGTAAAGAAAGAGAGCAGAAAGGAAACACTTTTACACCGCTACTGTTTTTCTATAAACCTACATTTCGAGGTAAGGGGGAGGAGAACTTTATCTCTTTAATTTTTTTATATATACTCCTATATTTATTTATTTATGTTATTTTTATCTAGTGAGGTGCCCCTAACCTCATTTATTTGTTTATTCTATGCTTATTGTTATTCATAATAATTATTAATATGTCCATATTTTATATTGTTTATTTATTCTGTAATAATTATCATTATTATTTAATTAATTGGTGCTCTTAATATATTTTAATTACGTATATGTTATTTAATTAAAGATTAAATAATGATAAATTCTCAAATTTATTTAGCGTTATTATTTTTAAATTGATTATAATATAATGTTGTTAAAATATATTTGACTCGTTTTAAAAAAAAAAATTATTGCTCTATGGCCATAGAAGATAAAGTTTGAATCATTTGTAGCTGAAGGTTTGACCTTGGGGATTTAAATGAGTAAGAAATCATGATTAAAAAATTCTTGCGCTGATTGATATTATAATGCTCATTTATCCTGACTAGTCTCTACAATTGTAATTCAAATTTTACATATATTGTTTAATATTAACTATTGTTACGCATGCTTTATGATTATAAATATTTCTTTGAAAAATGTTCTTACTCCTTATGTTTATTGTTTTTGAAAATGTAAAAATTAAATAAATATAGATGGATGTGCCAGCGATACCTGCCCCTTTCCCTGCAGTCATATCTGCTGTTTTCTCTGGAACCACCTGGAGCGTCGATGCTCTCGCTAACTCTGTAACTTTCAACGGGGTCGCAGTGTCGTCGTTCACTTTTTCTCCATACCAGGAAGTTCCCACGGTGATAGATGGATCCATCGTTGTGACTTTTTACTTACCTCCAGCTAATTACGTGAACCCGATCGTAAATTTGTTCCAGCCACCTATGTAGTTAGTATAGAAGTAGAAAAATAAAAATATGATGTGTAAATAGGCTTACAATAATCTGTACTACATATATAGAAAAAAAAAAACGCAACTACGTGTGTTTTTGTAAAATATTGTAATGATAAATACTTATGATATGATATAATGTATAGTATTATCATACATGTATTCTTTTATTTATATATATATATATATATATTATTGATGTTAATATTAATATTATTAGGCGTTACACCTTTTTTGTTGGATATTATTAACGTGTCCTCATGCTCATAGTATTATTTACGGAACTAATATAATTTTTTTTTTGTTATAGATATCGAAAGAGTGCGTTGGTACACTTTTTAATAATAAACAATTGTACCTTTTAATTCGTCGATCAGTGTGTAATGGTTAGTATTTTCATTTTTGTTTGTTTTTATAAATTTTTAAAGGACGTCATTAATCTTGTAAAAAAAATGACATCATTAATATTTCTCATTGTGAGTTTGTGACCATTCAAATATTGAAGGAACGATTGAACTCAAATTCAATATATATGATGTAGTTTTGTGGGAAATTTCCATGCCTTCAACCGTTGGGTCCTACAGCTAACGTGTTGGAGACTTGTATTATTTGAAGGAAAGATCGTTGGTTGTTTGTAAGAATGAAATGCTTCACAACCTTTATTGCATTATTAGGGGGAAAAAAAGCACTTCCAGAAGAATAATATAGTAAGTGATTATTTAAATGGATTTGAAATGTTCAGAGTAAAATAAAAAAAAAGAGAGAGTAAGAATGAAATGGTTCACAACCTTTATTGCTTTATACGACAAAAATAGATAATTTTTTTTTATTATTAGTATAGATTTAACACACTTTTTTTTAATAAAAAATTTTATTACTAGAAAATTGTCATTTTTTTTATGAATTTTTCTTATAAAAATATTCGCTGAAATTTTTTGCAAATTTTCTTACGATAATAATTTCACAATAAAATTTTACTAATTTTTTTCATGAAAAATAATTTACATGAAATTTTTGCAAATTTTGCTACAATTTTAATGATCATACAAATTTTTCATGGTAAAAATTTGCAGAAAATATTGTAAGAATTTTATTTTGTTTCTTGCAGGTAACTTTTCTTGCGGATTTTCCTGCCAGTTTTAATCCACAGGAAAAATCAAAAAAATATTTAAATTTATAAGTTTAATATTTTAACAAATTTCAAGTCCCACATCAATTGAAAATAAAACAATTAAAGAGTATATAAGTTGGGGCAACACTTACCTTACAAGTTGATTTGTATGGTTGAGTGTTAGGCTTATAATCTACAATCTTAGAATTTAAAAGATTATGTATCACATGTTGGAGGCGTGGAAATAAATGCTTTGGATGAATTCATTGTGAGCATTTGAAAGTTGAAGAATTATTGATAGAATTTATAATAATTTCTTTAATTTTTTTCATAAAAAATATTCATGCAGAATTTCTTGCAAAAAAAATTCGCAGGAAACTTTCCTGCGATTTTTTTTGCAAGAAACTTTCTTGGGGATTTTTTTCGCAAGAAATTTTGCAGGAAAATTTCTTGCAAAATTTAAAATTTGCAAAAACATATTATCTACAAAGGTATTACCTGCAGATAAATTTCGCAGAAAAATTTGTAGGAACAACGTTTCCTACAAATTTTTATGAAAAAGTCGCATGTAATAAAAGAAATTATAATAATGTTTATTTAAAATCATAAAATTTCATAGTCTTATATTTAATTGTAAGGTAAAAATGTGTTTTTGTTTGTGGGTTTGTTTTGATCTCTCCACTTTTACTTATTTCCCTTTTAATACAAGTAATTTCAATGAGTTCCCTATAAAATTCCCCAAATACAGTTCTTAGTCTCTCTAAAAACTTTTGTCTTATTTTAATCTCTCTAATTTGTAAATGTTCTACTTTTAATCCTCAATATAGTTTAAATAACATTTTATAATTTTTTTAAGTTCTATCTAAAGTGTAAAATTGTGAGTTTTAGGGTTGTTTAGTCAATTTTATTAAATAAATGATTATGTGATTTGTTGTTTAGTTGTTTTAAAACTTTAAAGATTAAGAAATTCTCATGAGTTTAATTTTTTAAGAGTTGTTTGAATTTAAGGTCAAAGTTGATTAAGTCTAAGGGAAGGTATATAAGGTTTTCTTTAAGACTTGAACTTCAGAACTTTATTTTCTTAAAAAACTTAGAGAGAAGTTAAAGAAACAAGCTTTGGAACTACTAAGATTTTTTTCCCCTTTTATTGACCTGATAGAGCGTTTAAATCCTTCTCACGGAGTTAGATTAAGTAGTTGTAATTTTGATTCAAAACTTTAGGAGTTGAGAATTAGAAGGAGAAGTCATCATACAAAAAGTTTGGGGTAAACATAATCATAAGAGTAGATAAATATTTTGAAATAAAACCATGGTTCCACTAACATAAGAGCAGAGAATTCACATTCGTAAACATAATCATAATTCACTTGCGAAAATTACAGAAGAAATAAAGTTAAAGGTTTTCCAAAACAAAAGAAAGAAATTGAATTCTCAAACTAAGCTTAACTATGCCCTGATATCACATATCCTATCAGAGCACGCCCAATTGAAGCCTTAGCCTCATCACCAACATCCTCATGTTGATGATCACCTGTAACACAATTTAAACACATACAAAGAACAACAAGAAAGTGAGAAACATCTCACTCAAGTTCAGGTGTAAAAATAACAGTCAGGTAACACACACACAATAAACATAATACAAGGCATAAACACAAATCACATATAAACAATACACATACACATTTAGAATCACATGTACACTCATTTATCATACAATGATGTCATAGACTCGACTCATAAATGCATGCATGTGGCGCCAATCACGTGTCTCATAATCACATATCACGTGGTATGCTGCTGAAGCAACATACTTGGAGTAGTCTAGGAGAACATGACGACTCAACCGTGCACTATCAACTAGAAGGATGTACTGTTAGGGTCTCGTCAGGATAGTGAAGCCGCACAAGATACGTCCCATGCACACAAACGAGCAGAACTGAGCCTTCCAAACCGCACTATCCCCTAGGATTCCTCCAAGATGTTTCACACTTGGAGGACCTTCCC